TGTTTTATAATGCTCCTGTGAATGTTTCATACATCAGCAATGATGTATAAATATAGATTGTTGTTCTAAATTTGATGTAATGCGAGTGTATAGATTGCTTAACACTTTCAGTGTGTATTACTTGTGGTAGTGAGGTTCTCATACATGGATGGAATAGGGACAGGGAGTCAACAACACCGTCCATACTTGCAAACTCTATTGCAGCAGCAATAAATTTTGGCCAGCCAGCGATGCTCACATCCCATGAGTAACTAAAAAAAAACTCCATGGGAACACCACCGCCCGGAAATTCCCCTCTAAGCTGCACACCACCCTGTCTGGGAAATATATCACTGTTCCTTCACTATCTTTACGTAAAAATCCTTGAACACCTTTCCTAACAACCCTGTGGGTGCCCTTACTGATGTCTAGCTAGTTTCAAGTTTGGTAAATCGAGAGGCTGTATATATAATGACACATGTTTGCACCATTAACAAGTTGTTTAACAAGCACTAATCCCGGTCAGTTGGCATCTTTCTGCTGCCTGGCGAGAATCTTGCCAAGCCTCTTGCGAAAAGCCTGGAAGATGACATGAGTTGCTCCTGACATCAAGATACCTCTTGCCACACTTATCACCCAATTCTGCCACACATCTCAGCATAGCCCTCATTACTCAGACCCCTATAAAATTCCACCCTTAGTTTTTTTTGTAATTGTCTTGTAAAGTACTTTGGGACATTTCATTATGTTCAAGGCTTCATATAAATAAAGGTTACTATTATAGTTTGCAGACATATTGAGGAAGTGGTGATGATGCTTGCTATGAAATTCCTATGGGCATTGCCAACATTAGCTGGGCAATATGAGCCAGGTCCCTGGCAAGAATGCTAATGCCTAAAGTGAGGTCTACCTGAAACTGGAAGGGGCCAACTTCCAGCAGTCAGTCATATTCTTTCCCCACAATTCTACTTGGTTTATAGCCATAAATTAAAATATTTGACTCTGTAAAGACTGGAGTTAATTGGATTGATAAAAATTTCAGCATTGGTGAGAGGAATGGAGAGCAGAAAGCGGGCAATGCTAGACAGATTGGTTTTTGAAGTTTAGCTCAGCGTTGGAGAGCACTTTAAGTTTCTATCGAATCAGAGATAGTAGGAACTGCAGATGCTGGAGAATCCGAGACAACAAGATGCAGGGCTGGATGAACACAGCAGGCCAAGCAGCATCATAGGAGCAGAGAGGCTGACGTTTCGGGCCTAGACCCTTCATCAGAAAAGGGGGAGGGGAAGGGGGTTTTGAAATAAAT